CGATTTTCATGCTGATGTTACAGACTGACCAGGTGGTCCTAACGAAATGAAACCTAATCCGTTCATTTTTCGACAGGTTTGTAGAATAAGAACCATTTTCTCTGTCCCTCAAAGTAGCTTTGGAACATAGCCTCTGTTTATAGCTGGTGGAGTATGCCTCGTCTACATACACTTACATACTCGGATGTCCCGCGACAAAGAAAGCCGTCATCATTGATCCGGTGATCGAGACCGCTCACAGGGATGCTCGGGTCAGTGCCTATAAGTCTGAATGATCTGACGAAAGAAGTATTTCTGTTGATCTCTTGTAAGCGCGCCATGCATCCGACATAACATCGTAATCATGTCCTCGCTTCATGCCTGCTAACATTTTTTTGTTTCAGTTTTAGGGGTTTTATGATCACTGTACTACTTATACATTCCAGATCCTTCGTGACCTTGATTTGGACTTGATTTATGGGTTGAACACCCATGTCCACGCTGATCACGTTACTGGTACTGGTGTCCTGAAATTGGTGAGAGAGCTAAGATTATATGTTCCAAAGACGCAATAGTATGATTTCATTTGTTGTCAAATTTGTTGACAAGAGCTACGACCAAGAGCTACGACAAGGCCAGACAATTCCGCCTACGGGTGGGCGTGGCTGCCAGATGCAATGCAGCCGAGATGGATCTTACAATAATTGCTAGTCTAACATTTCCGCAATACGGAATTGGTTCCATCTTCAACGACTTTATAAGGAGTCAACCATTAAAGCCTCTCAAAAGAGTTGTTGTCGGGGCTGAGAAAGCATAGCCATGAGATTGATTTGCAATTAACGTCGCTCTCATTCAGGCATATCCAAAAATGAAGTCTGTTTTATCGAAGCACTCCGGTGGCAAAGCCGATCACTTCGTCGATGATGGCGACAAAATCGAATTTGGCCACGAATACCTTGATGTACGCACCACACCAGGACATACAGACGGTATATCGATTTCAGTGATTGCCTAATTGATAGCAAAGTGCCTTAAACTGGGGTTGTAAAAATGAGAAGTCAGTGCAACAGTATGCAGAATACCATTAACTATAGCCGCCTTTACCTCTTGCTCTCTTCCCTTCATCGACCGCAACGCAACCGCTCGCGTCACACCGCAACCAACACTTCCTGGGTGTTCCCTCATGACTTTCACGGCAACTCTGCTAGCATTTTTAGCCCAAATTCCTCGATTCAGACAATGTTCATTCTGTGGGCTCTCAATAAGGCTCATTCCATTACCAATGCTTCAGGATGTCTGACCTATATTTCACATGCTCATAAAATGGCTTTTACGGGTGATGCGTTGCTGATCCGTGGTTGTGGGCGGACTGACTTCCAACAAGGTAAGCTACTTTATGTTATCCATCCTCGAAGAGTATTAGTGCTGGAAGGAAGAGTGACGCTATTCTGTAAAGTTTCCCGTTCGTGGGCTCTTTCTTCACAATGGGAAAAGCTGTCGAAACTTCTAATTGGGCCTCGGGGGACCTTCCTTACAGAAATTTCATTTTATATCAAGACCCAGAATTCATTGACTTGGATTGAGCAAATTTCAGGAAATCCTCACACTCTGTATCGTTCCATATGGGAAAAAATTCTCAGCCTGCCAGACGACTACCTCCTCTATGTCGGGCATAATTATGACGGAATTCTTCAGACATCTGTATGTTATAATAACATTACCAGTTCTCTGCAACGAGGTATGACAACCGAGTCTTTTAGGTTGCTGAAGAGAAACGCTTCAATCCAAGAGTGACCAAATCTGAGGACGAGTTTGTGGATCTCATGAACAAGCTCAACCTTGAATATCCCAAACAGATCGGTGAGTATGGATAAAATGTTTCCAAAAATGAACAAATTCAAAATTATTTAACGGGCTTTTTATTCATTGAAGGCCAGAGTTCACAAATTAGGCTCGGAATAGGAAAAATCAGTGAATGGGGAGAGAATGCCGCAGCCGTAAAGGGACTTAGCCACTAGAAAAAGAGTAGAGGTGGTACATTCAACCATAAGACGCTTTCTAAAGTTGAGAACGATTGCAGATAAGAGTGGTAAACCTAAGTGGCCCATGGCTCATGGCCCATTTACGGGGATAGTTAAAGGCACACTTCACGATAAAAGATAGGGATAAAGTTTTTTGCGTTGATCAACCTCGATTGAGGTATGCGCCCCTCGCACTGGACTTCCATTAAGAATCGTAGTGGCGTAATGAGTGCGTATTGGCCTGACTTGCGGTGGCCAGCCGATGTACAGGTCAGTGCTTTCATCCTCCCAGACGAGTCTGGTGCCAATTCGCTGACCCCGGAGGGATGCAAGGCTTGGTTGGCCTAGGCGGATATCCATCCGGTATTCAAGCCCCTGACCGTGCGTGTGAGAAAGACATCGCCATCTGCCACTACACCACCTCCGTCCAGTTCACGATAATTTTGGGTGATCAAGATTATGATGATAAATGGAAGATAATATAGAAAATAGTGCGATGAAGGCGAAGGAACTGCGTGAATCGATGTTTCCAAAGTGGAAAAGGCTTAGAAAAATCGTTAAAAAGGGGCTGGATGAGAGACCAGAAAAATGAGGAAGAGGAAGAGCAGGGCATTCGGACGAGCTATACTACGTGTCTCACTGCGTGCATGTGGGTCGTGGTGCGAGTAACAGACTATGTTAAGCAAAAATTCATCCACTTATAAGCATAAATAAACAAAAAAACCCTAGTAAAAGCAAAAGCAGCTCACCTTTTTCAGCCTCTAGGAGTAGGAAATTGAATAAGGGATCGCGGCAGCAAAACGAAAAACAGAGGAAAAAAGAATGGGAGAAAAACATCGCTTCATCACTCGGCGATCAGCTGGTTGTGTGCGGGTCCTAGAACGAATAGTTGCAATCTGTATTGCGTCGACACTCGTCTAACGTGACATCGATCGAGAGGCGTTAAAGCCAATTACGGCAGCAACAGCAGGGCTTCCACTGTGCCCTAGGCGCCGAGATTGTGGGAGTGAGAGCGTCTCTTCTACCACCCAGTGCCTTTAAGGGTCTGGTCCAGTTCGAAGTTTGAGAGAACAGTATGGGTGACTGACAACATTAATGGGCAATGGGTTACTGATCACTGATACCTTGCTTGATCATATCACCAGACGAGTGACCAAAATTCGAGCTATATACCTTCAGGAAAGGGTTTTTGAAGGCCTAAGACTTCCGCTCCAAAAAATACCACTACTGTTACTATATGAGTTCTATTTTTCGATGAATTCATTTTTTTTCAGAACGTGCTCTGCCAGCGAATCTCAAAGACGGAATGCTCTGAGTCTTAATGCAGAGCCTTGTTGCCCCTAACGAGTGATTACACTTATCGCCGGTTGTTATACTAGAATAATGTTCATAAAAGACTATGTTTAATTGTGTATTCCATTCATAAATTACGAAAAATACAATAAAATTAAATAAAAACAACAATTTAATCAATTAGCTGTACTAATCTGAACTGCGCTGAAAGACTAGTAACATGAACTTCACACAGGGCTCACATATAGGCATCCAAATATTGAAGACAATAAAAAATAGTGGAAGTGAAATGGAAATGCAGTGAATGAATGGCTTATCTGTGAAGAACAACGGTAAAGCAGCGGTCAAATGATTAGCTCTATTTGCTAGGCACACAAAATAGTATATCACAGATATAAACAGATATAAATAGAGCTCTAGTTTGAGCTTTTTCGTCATGAACCTGTAGATATCGGAAGGCACTAAGAGGTTCTATAAACGATCAATAAGTATCAATTTAATTAGGGTGTTTATTAAAGACACTATTGTTTGAAGGAATCTACTCTATACTACTACACAAATTCAAACCCACTGGTCATTATACTCGGGAAAGGAGGCCTTACACCTGAAACTTGATGACTATAGCGAAATGTGGGGAAAAGCGGGACAGACTTCTACAAGGGATAGGTTCCACTATCGAGTTCCGCCATTTCGCGTTCCGTTAGGCGTTCATAGTTCCGTAGTCGGGAATTGTAGACGAAGACCTTGTGGTCCGGCGAATTTAATTTGTAGCCAAGTCGTTGCAAATTCGTTTTCACTAATTTGAATGTACCTGAAATAAACGAAAATTTCGGTTTCGAGCGTGTTTATTGGTTGCCATTGTTGTTTAGTTATTTATTTATCTGTTGAGTGGTACTGGACGAGGACAGTGCACGAAGGGAGTCGCCAGTGGGCCCAACTCTGTTACTACATAGGGCGACAGCTTTTACTCGATTTTTCCAGCCGGGGGTGAATAGGAAGGATATTGTACCCTTGGTCCACAACTTTAGGACTCATAACCTATCCCTGAGACAGGAATAAGTTCCCATGAGCGGGCAATGCCATCTCTGGTCCGCTCACAACCTGCAGCGATTCCCAGGCAGCGCTAACGTCACGCGCTACGACCTATTGTTAGCTAGTTGCCCTGGTGATCAGTTTCGACACGCCGTTCGGGAACAACACATAAAACGTAGTTCCCCACTATGATCGTCCCTCTCATGAAAGATCAGAATAGCTGATGAGGGGATCTATGGATCACCTGTATGACGAATTGATCCGATTCGATCCTGAACATTCGTCCAACGACTGCAGTATGAAGTCTGCGCGAAAATCGTCTAATCCATACCCTTTGTTCGTAAAACCGTCAGGAAACACTGTATGCGTCTTTAAACTGGATAATGGCTTCGGGTAGGTACTATCATGAGTGATCGAAACAGCCGTGGACAGATGGCGCCACTTTTGCACCGACGTAAGAGTAATTAGGTCCGATTTCGTCCCAAAAGACAACACTAAAAAGAAGTACCTGTCTTGTCGACTTCCGGGCAAAGTCGAATGAACTGTGGTAGAGCGTATGGAGCTAAACTGGCTGCCAATCGGTTGCCAATTCGCTCGACGAATGCTTCGTCAGAGGCGTCGTCGTCGTGGTTCCGAACAACTGCGGCCATACCGGCTCGACCTTCGCGTCCTATAATTCGAGATTAAAATGAAATTCGTTGACAGCTGCATAAAGTCCCTATCGCCTTTTCTAGCTCCTTACCTGGAACGGTCACACCGTAGACAGTGGCATCAGCTACACCTTTCTCTGGGTGCAGAATCGCCTCCACTTCAGTTGTGCTAACATTTTCACCCTTCCATCGGAATGTGTCACCAGTCCTGTCCTTGAAGTACACGTAACCAAGACGATCCCAATAGAGCAGGTCTCCTTCAAATTAGTGAAAGTACTAATCGGTACTAATCGGATTGGACAGAAATGCAGAATTCAATTGCTCCTTTCAATTCTTAGTGAACCCTATCCAGGGAAAATGCCCTTCGACTAAGAGGAAGGAATGATATTATATAGAACAGGGCTCAATAAGAAAATCGGTGTGTGTTTACTGTTTTCTTAAACTCTTCACGAGGTTTTTAAGTATGCGTTATTAGGCTGACGTTTCGGCGGAATCGCCTTCTTCAGAGCCTGAAAGGATCATAACAATTTGTCACTATCCGATCGACCAACCAACGTTGGTGGAGACGTTTGATCGGATAGTCACAAATTGTTATGATCCTTTCAGGCTCTGAAGAAGGCGACTCCGCATAACGTCAGCCTAATAAAGCATACTTAAAAACCTCGTGAAAAGTTCAAGAAAACAGTAAACTCGATGATACAATTATACCGAGGTTCATAGAAAGCAGTACATGAAAATCGGTGTCTTTTTATCACCACTCCCCTCGAAAATATGGAACCAAAGGATTGAGGATGTGGTTAGTAGGTCCTTTTGGAGCCTACATTGATTTTCAGGAAATATTCATTTGAATCGATATGTAGAAAAACAAACCAGACACAAAACACCTATCGCCCTGTGTGAAGACATTACATATGATCTTCTTATTCGTTTCTGATTCATTCAGGTAACCTTCAAACTGCAGTAGAGGGTTATCCTTCCTAATCGTAGACACCATTGCTCCACTTTCACCTAAAACTGGCAGAGGTAGATTCTTTCCGTCAGAGGTAGCCTCAGAAAATTACCTGGATTACAGGCTATACATAATCCGGACTTTGAGCGAACGACTTCGCCTGTTACGTCGTCAACTCGGATTAGACGAACCGGATGCATCTTCTTCGTTAAAGGTGATATAGGTAAAAAGCCGCATGCCCCAACGTGGCCATCAATATTGACTTGAGAATAGGTGGATGTATTTCACAAAATAAACAAAATCAACCATTTGCCTGAGCATACCGAGATTTGATGTACCCTCCGTAGATCCGTAGACTTCGCCAATTTTAACTCGGAATCGATCGACAAACGGTTGCCAGATTTCTGCACGAAGGCCATTTCCATAGAGCAATCTCATTTTATGTGTAGCCTCTTCGGGGACAACCGGCTGGGCGAGAAGATAGCGACAGATTTCGCCGATATATTGTGAAGCCTGAAATTACGGCGTTTATTGGTTTTCTATGTGAAGGTACTAGAACCTATTCGTTCCTTTGTGATCTCACGTGGCTTTGGTTACTAAGGGGACCACTACGCGTTTTCCTCTCAATGTACTATGAGCCTGGACCTAGAGCAAGACAGATGATGAACATTCTGTAAGCTTGCTTTTAAAGGCACAGTTCACGATAATTTCGAGGTACCTTTTTTATTAAAAAACCGGAACTATAAGTTGGGTATTGTTCATCGGTAGTGAAGAAAGCGAGAAAATGCGCGAATTTCGAGAAAAACAGGCCTCCTCAAAAATAGGCAAAGTAAAGCTTGGACAAGATGACCGTGACGGAAATATCAATGGGAAGGGTATTTGGACGGCATTCAGCATTCCAGAGCTGACTACATCAAGCCAGAACTGTACAGAGCTGCCTTTCACTGTCACTATGAGTTATGACAAGTTATTTGAACTTCCTATATGGGTTCCCTTGTGAATTGTGAAGCCTCTTTGACGTCGTTGAAACTCGTCCGCGCATGCACATCGGACAATCATTGGGCCTTTATGTGTACTAGTGGACCTCGAGTTCATCCTATGAAGAAATCTCAGAAACCATTTTGATCGTGAACTGTGCCTTCAAGCCGATAGAGCATGTTGCATGCTTCTACCTGAGTTTACGTGACGTCTAACATCTCCAACTTAGATATTCGCAGCGATGTCTTTGAGACTAGTCTTCGAAATTCACCAGCGAAAATGTGTTCCACTAGATGAGGTAAACTAGTCCATAATTGAGAACTTGTAAGATATAGCGCAGAATCCCATTTCCGTGTTCAATAAGGTTATCTTGCTACAATATAAATGGCGATATATGTATGTATGTGTATGTACATGTGTATGTATGCCTGTCTAAGTATTT